TAGTAGGATGTGATTATGTATATGTGTGTTAGTATGTATGGATTGTATGGCTTGGGTATGAATTTTTGTTTGCTTGTAGACTTGTGGCTAGGAAACTTGGCTATAGTATGTGGTTTTGATAGATTTATTTAGTAGACCAAGTTTCCATTACAAGCAAATATTTACTTTGGTATATATGTGATTCCATAAGAAAATGCAAAGTGGTTGCATTGCACATGGTGTGCTATGGGCAAACATATACCTTGCATAGAGAGAGTGGGTGTATGGGCCCCACAGAGATCTCTGAGCCAAGTGAAAATGTTTAGTGTGTGTATTCATTTTCGTATATGATATTTGGAACAGTTTTTGGTCACTCTTGTGTGATTTGTGCATTTTGGGGGTTTAGGGTCCATTTTGGGAAATGGCACCTGGGTGGTCAAATTTTGGTATAAAGGATTTTTCTATCATTTAAATGTTCTATCAGGAGTTTTTAATCCTATTTGATGTGTCCAAAGTATTCTCACAGGTTTGTGACCATTAGGATGAGATTTGGATAATTTTAAAAATGAGTTCTACCAAATAAAATTGCACTTTTGCATCCAGGTGTCCAAATCTTAATCCGATCATTGGATTTCTCTAAAATTTAGGTCACAAGTAAAACTCTTTATAATCTTCGTGTGGGCTTTGGAATCTCAGATATTGAACGGAGAAACGGCACACTTCAGAATTTGGTCTGGAGGAGCTATCATGACAGCAAAGTTGTTGTCATAACAGCAATAGAGATGATGTTGCAACATGCACGAAATTCAATCCGTCTGTTGGATCTTTTCAAATTTTGGTATGCTAATAGTACTATTTAAAATTGACATGTGAGCTTTGGAATTTCTCCAATCGGAGGTCGGATGATGAAATGGTGCACTCTGAAAGTTAGTCTAGAGGTGCTGTCATTTAGCTGTCATGACAGAAAAAATGATCAAACTTTTAACATGTCTAATTTTTAATCCAACTATTAGATCTTTTTGAAATTTGGTACACTTATAGTACCCTTCAAATGTGACGTGTGAGCTTTAAAATTTCTTTGATCGGGGATCGGATGCCAGAATAGCGCCTCCAGGAAGTTGGCCCATGAGGGCTATTATGACAGCAATTTAATACCGTCATGACAGCATTTTTTTACCTCGCTTTCGCCTACTGATAGGAAATTAGTCGCTTATCCTCAAAATTACACTAAAGCTAACCCTAATGCAATATAGGGCCAACCCTAGGTCATCTCCCAAGGAATGGTTTTAAGTCTAATTGAAAGTTATCTAGTGAAATAAATCAACCAAAGTTTGTAGGAATTTAGTTATCTAGCTAATTATCTAAACTAATTACCTAATATGCAAGTAATTAAAATGCTAGTGAAAGTGAGTGAAATGAACTTCCCTTTTTACAATAATGGAACCCTAGAGATTAGTTGATTTTGGACTCATTATCTTCTCATGATTAGGCTAAGTTTAGCTTCCCTTTCCTCTTGACTAAAGCTGTCATGACTTAAGAAAATTATCCTAAGCCAATTAACCTAATTAGCTAACCTCCCTAGGTCTTAGATTAAAGTCCCTAGTTCAATTAACCAATTGGTGAAGACATTAGCCAAGTGATTCACTCAAAATCCTCTCTCAACAGCCATGGTCAAACACATAAATTGAGCAACCACAAGATTATGTCAAGCTACTCAACAACACAAGCATTAACACCACAAGATTATGCAATATTAACACAAGAAATTCACTAATTGAAAAACACAAGATTATGTGCCAAACAAAGAGTGGCAAAATTCAGTCATGGCTGTCCAAGGAAGAAATTAAATGAAACAATCCTCTCTCTTTACATCAACATCAAATTCAAATTAGAATTTATAAGCTAAGATGATTAAACCCTAGATTAAGGAATCTAACCATCTAGTAAAAAGAGAAGAGGATAGGAAACAAAAGAACTTAGCCAATTTGAAGCTCAAGACTCATCCTCCATCTTCATCTCTCTAGGATTCCACAAAGAAACTTAGCCAATCTTCATCTTCAAGAACCCTAGTGATTGCTTGTGAAGGCCAAACTCCATAGCTCTTGAATGATGGAAATGAGCTTCAATCCTTGTGAAAATGGAAGGGATGGAACGAAAATGAAGAGAGGAGAAGAATGGTATGAGTTTTGTGGAGGTTTGGTGGCTGAAAATGGAGGTTAGGGTGCTGGAAAATGAAGAACAAAAGAGAGAAAATGAAGAACACTATGAACAAGAGAGAGAGAGAATGTGGAAGATGAATCTGATATGTGTTGGATCCCATTTGGGACTTAAAATGGCGTGCTCCTTGGTGTCTCCCATCAGCTGAAGCTTAATTAAAATAAGGAAAAAGAAATTAAAATGTAAATGGGAGCCTTGTCACACTTGCAAGGTGGCAACTTCCTATTGGTTTGTAGATGATTCCAATGTGTGCCTAATTTCCCATGTGTCATCCACATCATTTTAGCTGATCTAATCCCTCAAAATAATCATAATTCACGTGCAAACCATCAGCCATTGTCCTCAAGGAGTGTTGACCTCAATTGCCCAATTGATGCACAAGTCACATGCCACCTATGTCACATAAATCACATAATTCAATTAAATAGCATATGATATAATAAAATCTAATTCATGTCCAGAATTAAATTCATAATTAGAAGGGAGAATTTATTAAATTAACCAAGTTTCAGGCTGCACAAAATTATATAAAAATTTTCACACAAAGGCAAACCAAAAACTAGGACAAACTAAGACACTTAAGAAAGTGTTGACTTTTTTATTTAATTACTCCCAAACTAAAATGAATTTTAAAAATATAATTTCACCATTCATCAACTGGACATAAAATGCACTTTGTCAATTTTTCTTGTACATTTTCTCAAAAGTTCATTTTTTGGACCAAAATGCCCCTAGTGCACTGATCTTAGAAACTTAGGCAAAGTTCAAATCTAATGCAATGTGTGCACTTGAAGGTGATAAATCATTAATAAAATGGTCCTAATTGACAAATAAAAGTGGGTAACAAATGTGTTCTATCAATTCCCCCACACTTAGCTTTTGCACTCCGGGCAAAATCAAGTGAAAAAGGTCCCAAAAGAAACTATAAGACAAAGAAATAAGAGAAAAACATTGTTTCAAGTCACTAAAATACTAGCTCATGAACTTCTACAAATTATCAATCAATGTGGCAATAATTAGGAAAGAATTATGCACATCACAAACAAACCCTTACCAAGAATCAATGTCAAAGAGTAAGCCTCTCTAGGTTAAGTGTTTGCTCTCATCACTAAGTGTATAAGGTATTAAATTTCACTCAAAATTTCTTAGGATAAACCCTACTATAAATTTGTAACCCTTCTACATCTCCATCACTAAATAGCACTTGCAATCAAGAATCAAGTGGACTTTATTAGGTTGTGATATAGGTAATGAAAGGATGTCTAAGAAATGCATGTATATAAAAAAATAGGGTTAGCATCAAAATAATGCTAAATCAAGATATATCCCCTTAATATGCAAAGCATAACCTAACTCAATTGAGTGAACACCTTAACACAATGAGGATGGAAAGAAATGATAAGAAATAATAAAACAAATGGAATGGATGAGCTAGGCAACTTTTTTTTCTTTCTTTCTTTTTTTTTATCTCTTCTTCTTTTTGTTTCTTTTTCTAGCAACTTTATTTCTTTTCTTTTTGACTATATTTTTTTTTTCAAATCTATCTTTGTTGTTTTTTTTTTGGTTGCCCCTAACTCTTTGAAAACAATGGAAGTAATGGATAGAGAAATGATAATAGGCATCCACTCATTTGATCTAGGACATGCAATGAATATTAAAAAGACATATAAAAGTGTAACATGCATTCCTTGGGGAAAAATAGGGTGAATATTTTTTTTTTTTAAGAATCAAACCAAAGGCTCAAAGTGGCTAACAAAGGATAATAAATAATAATAGGTTGGCTATTTGGCTCTTGGCTATTTTTTATGAATGCCATCTCTCATCTCCTATCAAACAAGTGCAAGATATATGGTCTTAATTAAGAAGTGAAACAAATTCTAGAGGGTAACATCACTAAGGAATTAATCACACATGAGTGTTTAGCCTCTTCCATGAAGGGTAATATGCCACTCTAATCCATTAATTCAAGGTAAAAGAATGTTCACTTCACACCTATTCAATCCTAAAAATTACCACATCTCAAGAATCAAAATATCCATTCAAGAGCTAGGTAATTAAGTAACCTCAAACAAAACAAAACAAAGATTTTTTTTTTGAATTTTTTTTTTGCAAAACCAAACAAAACCAAACAAACAAAACAAAATGTTTATTTCTCTCCCCCACACTTAAATCATGCATTGTCCTCAATGTATGTATAGACTAGTGATAAAATAAGGTGAGATCAATAATGAATGCATAACAAAAGTGTGGTCCAGAAATTTTTTTTTTCAAACTAAAACACAAAACAAAGAAGTCAAATAAAGCAAATAAACTCTAATTTTCCTACTAGGTTCATCTCCCCCACACTTGCAATTTACTCAATCAACAAATCAAAGCATAAAGCAAAGTAAAGTAAAAAGCAAGGGTGAAGAAGATACAACCTAGTTTAAATCTCCACAAGCTCTTGAAGTTGAAATTTTCATCTTTGAGGAGTAGCATGAAGCTACTCATTATCATCTTCATTCCAAGCATCTTAGGTGGAGGCTCAAGATCAATTTGTAATGGCTCCAAGATGTATGGTGTAGAATCTTTCATAACTTTATGTGGTTGATCATCTTCATGATTAGCCAAGGTCTCTTCCATTGCAATGATAAATCCTCTAAGTACATGGGGGTTCTTGGCCATATCATCATTTAGACCTATAAAATCAACAAAGAACCCTTCCTCAAGCATATTGGGTTCCAAAGAAGTGCACTCATGATTAATTTCACTCAAACATACATCATCAATTATTTTATCAAGTAAATGATTGCTACTATTTTCAAGCACAAATGAATTAATTTCTAAACAAATAGGGCATGGAGAATCATGTGAACAATCACAAGTGAATAGGGAATTAGAACAAGTACTATGAAACAAAGCCAACTCATCATCAAAATCATCAAGCATTAAATCAATATTATTCTCATTACTATTTGGCTTTGTAAAATCAATTCCTTGATTTTCAACCTCCTTGTCATCTTGAGTTATTTTCAATTCCTTGTTCAAATCCTTAGTAGGAGCCACAGCCTCTTCAAGTTGAGCAAGTTCCTCTTGAAATCAAGAGATGGTTTGGCTACATTGCCTTGTTCACCTACAAAAGAAGGTAAACAACCTTTCTCAAGCACATCATGGTTAGAAGAAACAAGTGCATGTGCACTATTAACAATATCACAAGAAGGAATTGGAATTTCAAGCATACAAGATACATCATCGCCACCATCAACATCCATTTCATTTTCTTTATTCAAGCTAAGTGAAGAGTCAACACTTTCAATGATATTTGAATTTAAATCAAGAGAATTATCATGTGAACTCAAAGTGTTTTTCTCCCAAGGGTATACTTTTTCACAATATGATTCATGCTCAAACATCCAAGGTGATTCAACTATAATTTCTTCATCTACGTCATCATCATTTAAATCATTATGCTCATCATTAGATAAAGTCAAATGTGAAGAAGAATCAACCTCAATAGGAATAGGAGAAATTACCTCTTGAAGTAAGGGTTGGATTGACTCCTTCTCTTTTGGAGATTGAGTGGCTTGAGGTGTATTTATATTCTCAATAGCTTCATGAGCAACTTTTTGTGTGTCTTCAACTTGAAACATGTAATTTCTCTCTTGTGAGGCTTGGGCTACTCCATGTGGTTCACAATATCCTTTTAGAATAGGACAATCATAATAGAAGTGGGAGATAGCCTCACAATGCACACAATAAAATTTACCCCTTTGTGCATATAATTTTTCTAGATGCTCAATGTCAATGGATGGTGTACGCTCAACATGAGTGCTTAGATTGGATTCAAAACTCATGGGATTGGAAAATTCATAATTGTGACTTGGATGGAAATGATCATGATATGGGGGTGGATAATCAAAGTTATATTGTTGAAATTGATTATGGAAATGGGATGTATGGTCAATGTTAAGCGCTGGAAATGGATGGGAATGGATGTCAAATGAATGATGGAATGAATCATGATCATGAAACCAAGCCATAAAATGCAATGAAATTTATATCCACAAGCAATGATTCAAATTCAAGCTCAAAATGATGGAAAGACCAAGGAAGCTCAAATGATATGTCCTTTGCAAGTGTATGAGTGGAAATGCAAGCAAAAAAAAAATCAAGAGAATTTTTTTTTCTTTTTTCTATTAGAATTAAAAACAATAAAAATGAAAAAAAAAAATCAAAAACAACACCAAACAAGTAGAAAGAGAGTTAGAAATGCTCAATCAAGAAGCTTTGACAATTCTGGAATTTGCACAGTAGGCTTTCTGGAGATAGTGAACTTGTGGATTTTTTAGCAGCCAATCCATATGAGAAATTCACCTGAAACTTTTATGAGAGACACAAGAGATATTCAGAAAAATTATATAAAAATTTCAGATTACAAATCCCTCCCAATCGTTCCCAGAATTTTTCACAAGTTGGTCCACAGGTCTGGAGAAACAGGATTTCGTCCAGAAGACCTTCAGAGCTTCTAACAAACTTTCAAATAGGAAAATGGAAAAATTGAAGAAAATCCTAAACACAAGAAACAAAGATAAGACAGTGATAAGAAAAATGAAACTGGAATCAATCAATTTGAACGCACAAAGAGGAAGATATGCTAACTCAAAGTTGAAACAGGGTTTTGGGAATCCTCTGTAATGGCTCCCTGGACCTTGTTAGATTGTAAAATTTCCACAGGACACTTCCCACGTCCAAAATTGACCAAACCAATTTTAAAGTGAAGCTAAGATATAGAGCTTTCAATGAAATAAATTTCAAGTTAAATTTCCTCAGATTCATTCCCAGTTAATTTTTCAATTTCAAGCAGAGACACTAGAAACAGAGTATTCACTCTACACCAAACCAACGAAAATTGCACTAATTTTTTTTTTTTTTTTTCAAAACAGAAAAAAACACTCAAAACACACAAAAGACACTAAACAAAACACAAAACACAAATTTTTATAATTTTTCAAAAAATTTTCCAGGAACACTAAAAATGTAAATTAAGTACTAAACAACCTTAGAATTAAACTTAAACCATTCCCCGGCAACGGCGCCAAAATTTTGATAGGAAATTAGTCGCTTATCCTCAAAATTACACTAAAGCTAACCCTAATGCAATATAGGGCCAACCCTAGGTCATCTCCCAAGGAATGGTTTTAAGTCTAATTGAAAGTTATCTAGTGAAATAAATCAACCAAAGTTTGTAGGAATTTAGTTATCTAGCTAATTATCTAAACTAATTACCTAATATGCAAGTAATTAAAATGCTAGTGAAAGTGAGTGAAATGAACTTCCCTTTTTACAATAATGGAACCCTAGAGATTAGTTGATTTTGGACTCATTATCTTCTCATGATTAGGCTAAGTTTAGCTTCCCTTTCCTCTTGACTAAAGCTGTCATGACTTAAGAAAATTATCCTAAGCCAATTAACCTAATTAGCTAACCTCCCTAGGTCTTAGATTAAAGTCCCTAGTTCAATTAACCAATTGGTGAAGACATTAGCCAAGTGATTCACTCAAAATCCTCTCTCAACAGCCATGGTCAAACACATAAATTGAGCAACCACAAGATTATGTCAAGCTACTCAACAACACAAGCATTAACACCACAAGATTATGCAATATTAACACAAGAAATTCACTAATTGAAAAACACAAGATTATGTGCCAAACAAAGAGTGGCAAAATTCAGTCATGGCTGTCCAAGGAAGAAATTAAATGAAACAATCCTCTCTCTTTACATCAACATCAAATTCAAATTAGAATTTATAAGCTAAGATGATTAAACCCTAGATTAAGGAATCTAACCATCTAGTAAAAAGAGAAGAGGATAGGAAACAAAAGAACTTAGCCAATTTGAAGCTCAAGACTCATCCTCCATCTTCATCTCTCTAGGATTCCACAAAGAAACTTAGCCAATCTTCATCTTCAAGAACCCTAGTGATTGCTTGTGAAGGCCAAACTCCATAGCTCTTGAATGATGGAAATGAGCTTCAATCCTTGTGAAAATGGAAGGGATGGAACGAAAATGAAGAGAGGAGAAGAATGGTATGAGTTTTGTGGAGGTTTGGTGGCTGAAAATGGAGGTTAGGGTGCTGGAAAATGAAGAACAAAAGAGAGAAAATGAAGAACACTATGAACAGAGAGAGAGAGAATGTGGAAGATGAATGAGATATGTGTTGGATCCCATTTGGGCTTAAAATGGCGTGCTCCTTGGTGTCTCCCATCAGCTGAAGCTTAATTAAAATAAGGAAAAAGAAATTAAAATGTAAATGGGAGCCTTGTCACACTTGCAAGGTGGCAACTTCCTATTGGTTTGTAGATGATTCCAATGTGTGCCTAATTTCCCATGTGTCATCCACATCATTTTAGCTGATTTAATCCCTCAAAATAATCATAATTCACGTGCAAACCATCAGCCATTGACCTCAAGGAGTGTTGACCTCAATTGCCCAATTGATGCACAAGTCACATGCCACCTATGTCACATAAATCACATAATTCAATTAAATAGCATATGATATAATAAAATCTAATTCATGTCCAGAATTAAATTCATAATTAGAAGGGAGAATTTATTAAATTAACCAAGTTTCAGGCTGCACAAAATTATATAAAAATTTTCACACAAAGGCAAACCAAAAACTAGGACAAACTAAGACACTTAAGAAAGTGTTGACTTTTTTATTTAATTACTCCCAAACTAAAATGAATTTTAAAAATATAATTTCACCATTCATCAACTGGACATAAAATGCACTTTGTCAATTTTTCTTGTACATTTTCTCAAAAGTTCATTTTTTGGACCAAAATGCCCCTAGTGCACTGATCTTAGAAACTTAGGCAAAGTTCCAAATCTAATGCAATGTGTGCACTTGAAGGTGATAAATCATTAATAAAATGGTCCTAATTGACAAATAAAAGTGGGTAACAAATGTGTTCTATCAATTCCCCCACACTTAGCTTTTGCACTCCGGGCAAAATCAAGTGAAAAAGGTCCCAAAAGAAACTATAAGACAAAGAAATAAGAGAAAAACATTGTTTCAAGTCACTAAAATACTAGCTCATGAACTTCTACAAATTATCAATCAATGTGGCAATAATTAGGAAAGAATTATGCACATCACAAACAAACCCTTACCAAGAATCAATGTCAAAGAGTAAGCCTCTCTAGGTTAAGTGTTTGCTCTCATCACTAAGTGTATAAGGTATTAAATTTCACTCAAAATTTCTTAGGATAAACCCTACTATAATTTGTAACCCTTCTACATCTCCATCACTAAATAGCACTTGCAATCAAGAATCAAGTGGACTTTATTAGGTTGTGATATAAGAAATGCATGTATATAAAAAAATAGGGTTAGCATCAAAATAATGCTAAATCAAGATATATCCCCTTAATATGCAAAGCATAACCTAACTCAATTGAGTGAACACCTTAACACAATGAGGATGGAAAGAAATGATAAGAAATAATAAAACAAATGGAATGGATGAGCTAGGCAACTTTTTTTTTTTTCTTTCTTTTTTTTTTCTCTTCTTCTTTTTTTTCTTTTTCTAGCAACTTTATTTCTTTTCTTTTTTGACTATATTTTTTTTTTCAAATCTATCTTTGTTGTTTTTTTTTTTGGTTGCCCCTAACTCTTTGAAAACAATGGAAGTAATGGATAGAGAAATGATAATAAGGCATCCACTCATTTGATCTAGGACATGCAATGAATATTAAAAAGACATATAAAAGTGTAACATGCATTCCTTGGGGAAAAATAGGGTGAATATTTTTTTTTTTTAAGAATCAAACCAAAGGCTCAAAGTGGCTAACAAAGGATAATAAATAATAATAGGTTGGCTATTTGGCTCTTGGCTATTTTTTATGAATGCCATCTCTCATCTCCTATCAAACAAGTGCAAGATATATGGTCTTAATTAAGAAGTGAAACAAATTCTAGAGGGTAACATCACTAAGGAATTAATCACACATGAGTGTTTAGCCTCTTCCATGAAGGGTAATATGCCACTCTAATCCATTAATTCAAGGTAAAAGAATGTTCACTTCACACCTATTCAATCCTAAAAATTACCACATCTCAAGAATCAAAATATCCATTCAAGAGCTAGGTAATTAAGTAACCTCAAACAAAACAAAACAAAGATTTTTTTTTTGAATTTTTTTTTTGCAAAACCAAACAAAACCAAACAAACAAAACAAAATGTTTATTTCTCTCCCCCACACTTAAATCATGCATTGTCCTCAATGTATGTATAGACTAGTGATAAAATAAGGTGAGATCAATAATGAATGCATAACAAAAGTGTGGTCCAGAAATTTTTTTTTTCAAACTAAAACACAAAACAAAGAAGTCAAATAAAGCAAATAAACTCTAATTTTCCTACTAGGTTCATCTCCCCCACACTTGCAATTTACTCAATCAACAAATCAAAGCATAAAGCAAAGTAAAGTAAAAAGCAAGGGTGAAGAAGATACAACCTAGTTTAAATCTCCACAAGCTCTTGAAGTTGAAATTTTCATCTTTGAGGAGTAGCATGAAGCTACTCATTATCATCTTCATTCCAAGCATCTTAGGTGGAGGCTCAAGATCAATTTGTAATGGCTCCAAGATGTATGGTGTAGAATCTTTCATAACTTCATGTGGTTGATCATCTTCATGATTAGCCAAGGTCTCTTCCATTGCAATGATAAATCCTCTAAGTACATGGGGGTTCTTGGCCATATCATCATTTAGACCTATAAAATCAACAAAGAACCCTTCCTCAAGCATAATGGGTTCCAAAGAAGTACACTCATGATTAATTTCACTCAAACATATATCATCAATTATTTTATCAAGTAAATGATTGCTACTATTTTCAAGCACAAATGAATTAATTTCTAAACAAAGAAGGCATGGAGAATCATGTGAACAATCACAAGTGAATAGGGAATTAGAACAAGTACTATGAAACAAAGCCAACTCATCATCAAAATCATCAAGCATTAAATCAATATTATTCTCATTACTATTTGGCTTTGTAAAATCAATTCCTTGATTTTCAACCTCCTTGTCATCTTGAGTTATTTTCAATTCCTTGTTCAAATCCTTAGTAGGAGCCACAGCCTCTTCAAGTTGAGCAAGTTCCTCCTTGAAATCAAGAGATGGTTTGGCTACATTGCCTTGTTCACCTACAAAAGAAGGTAAACAACCTTTCTCAAGCACATCATGGTTAGAAGAAACAAGTGCATGTGCACTATTAACAATATCACAAGAAGGAATTGGAATTTCAAGCATACAAGATACATCATCGCCACCATCAACATCCATTTCATTTTCTTTATTCAAGCTAAGTGAAGAGTCAACACTTTCAATGATATTTGAATTTAAATCAAGAGAATTATCATGTGAACTCAAAGTGTTTTTCTCCCAAGGGTATACTTTTTCACAATATGATTCATGCTCAAACATCCAAGGTGATTCAACTATAATTTCTTCATCTACGTTATCATCATTTAAATCATTATGCTCATCATTAGATAAAGTCAAATGTGAAGAAGAATCAACCTCAATAGGAATAGGAGAAATTATCTCTTGAAGTAAGGGTTGGATTGACTCCTTCTCTTTTGGAGATTGAGTGGCTTGAGGTGTATTTATATTCTCAATAGCCTCATGAGCAACTTTTTGTGTGTCTTCAACTTGAAACATGTAATTTCTCTCTTGTGAGGCTTGGGCTACTCCATGTGGTTCACAATATCCTTTTAGAATAGGACAATCATAATAGAAGTGGGAGATAGCCTCACAATGCACACAATAAAATTTACCCCTTTGTGCATATAATTTTTCTAGATGCTCAATGTCAATGGATGGTGTACGCTCAATATGAGTGCTTAGATTGGATTCAAAAATCATGGAATTGGAAAATTTATAATTGTGACTTGGATGGAAATGATCATGATATGAGGGTGGATAATCAAAGTTATATTGTTGAAATTGATTATGGAAATGGGATGTATGGTCAATGTTAAGCGCTGGAAATGGATGGGAATGGATGTCAAATGAATGATGGAATGAATCATGATCATGAAACCAAGCCATAAAATGCAATGAAATTTATATCCACAAGCAATGATTCAAATTCAAGCTCAAAATGATGGAAAGACCAAGGAAGCTCAAATGATATGTCCTTTGCAAGTGTATGAGTTGAAATGCAAGCAAAAAAAAAATCAAGAGAATTTTTTTTTCTTTTTTCTATTAGAATTAAAAACAATAAAAATGAAAAAAAAAATCAAAAACAACACCAAACAAGTAGAAAGAGAGTTAGAAATCTCAATCAAGAAGCTTTGACAATTTTGGAATTTGCACAGTAGGCTTTCTGGAGATAGTGAACTTGTGGATTTTTTAGCAGCCAATCCATATGAGAAATTCGCCTGAAACTTTAATGAGAGACACAAGAGATATTCAGAAAAATTATATAAAAATTTCAGATTACAAATCCCTCCCAATCGTTCCCAGAATTTTTCAGAAATTGGTCCACAGGTCTGGAGAAACAGGATTTCGTCCAGAAGACTTCAGAGCTTCTAACAAACTTTCAAATAGGAAAATGGAAAAATTGAAGAAAATCCTAAACACAAGAAACAAAGATAAGACAGCGATAAGAAAAATGAAATTGGAATCAATCAATTTGAACGCACAAAGAGGAAGATATGCTAACTCAAAGTTGAAACAGGGTTTTGGGAATCCTCTCTAATGGCTCCCTGGACCTTGTTAGATTGTAAAATTTCCACAGGACACTTCCCACGTCCAAAATTGACCAAACCAATTTTAAAGTGAAGCTAGGATATAGAACTTTCAATGAAATAAATTTGAAGTTTAAATTTCCTCAGATTCGTTCCCAGTTAATTTTTCAATTTCAAGCAGAGACACTAGAAACAGAGTATCATCAACTCTACACCAAACCA